CTACTTAAAATTGATTACATTTGGCTCATCACTAACTGTGATTGGCTCATTCGTATTCTCAAGTTCTGTCTCTTACTTATTTTCACCATCTGTGGCTCTTTTTTGTGGAATTCCTATCGATATTGAAACATCACACTTAACAGTAACTCATGTAGTCTTCTTATTTTTCTTAAGGTTTACTATGATTTTTTTTCATAGAAGATCACATCTCTGCTGATGACTTTTTTTTCTTCATTGGATCTCATACCTTGTAGCTAAATTTCTTATCACCATATTTTACAAATATACACTGTATAGCTTTATTGTCAAGTTTTGACCTCTGCTATTTTAGCATATGTATGAATACTTTATACCCAAAAACTTTTAAATGAGAGTATGAAGCATTTTTTCCTGTCCATACTTTTTTTTAAATGTTAAATCCCAAAAAAACTTATAGTGATCTGTTAAGCAAATAACAAGCTATGTTGATTACTTCACCCTAGAATGTCTTTGGTAATTTTGTTATCCTCAATATACATCTGACTTTTTTCATAATGGTACAATTCATCCTTTCAACTATATCATTATGCTACGATATTTCAGGTTCTATCATCTTATGCTTGATCTCATGCTATGAACAATACTCTTCAAAGTCTTTGGATGTGTATTATCCACCATTATTAGTCCGAATATACTTCAAGGGTAGCCCTGTCATCCTTTCCACCATAGCATGAAATTTTTAAAAATATTGTAATACTTGGCTTTTATTTTTCAACATATATATCCAAGTCTTATGTGAAGTATCATCAATAAAAGTAATAAAATATCTACTATCATCCAATAACTCAACCTCAATGGAACCGTATACGTCAGAGTGAATCAATTCTAATACGTTTTTTTTTTAGAACTCTTACAAAAAGAAACTTTACAATGCTTGCCAAATAAATAATGATTACATGAATCAAGAAACATACTTTTGGTCAAGGTAATGAGAGAGTGCCTTACCAAAACTTGTAACCCCTTTTCACTAATGTTTGCCAGCCTCTTGTGCCATAAGTTTGCCGAAGCATCATCCTTAACGGCATTTATCTACTTGCCATTCAATTGCATCCATGTCTTATACATTGTGCAACATAGTTTTTCCCTTGCAACTACTATAGATCCTTTGAGAAGCTTTCACTGCCATTCTTTTGTCAACTCTCATATTTTTCCTTATTAAGGACATTAATAGCAAGCAAGTTCATTCTCATATCTGAAATGTGTCAACATCTCTCAAAGTCAACATGCAGCCCGTACTAGTTTGTATAACAATATCACAAATCCTAATTATTTGTTGCACACTCTTGTTTTCTATCTTAGTGCAACTAAAGTCTCCTGCTTTGTAAGTTGTAATTCTCTTAGGAACACAATGATATGTTGCTCCTTTGTCAACTATCATAGATCTTTTAAGAAGCTTCTATATCAATATCTTAAAATAACCCTCACTCTGATACTACTTATTGGGCATAAAGCAACAAACACAACACAAAAGTAATATATCACAATAAACTCACAAGAATAGACAACAATCAATAATCAACAACGCAGAAAAAATAAAACACACTAAGATTTATGTGAAAAATCTTTCAGTGTAGAGGAAAAAAATCACAGACCATAAAAAAAACTCAACTATGAAATAATAGATATACAAAGTTCTCATTGAGCTAAAACTAGAGCTAATCAACAACTATAGATAATTGAAAATATCTTACTAAATAGGTGACTCAATAAATATACCATAGATATATTTTTAAAGAATTTTAAACCCGATCTTCACCATTTAAAATGTAAAATTCTAAATCATAAACTTACTGTCAAAATTTTAGCTTGATCGAATTATAAACCGACTTTCATTCAACTAACTTTAATTTTTTCCTTTTCTCTCTTTTTTTTTTTGACCTGTAGACACCCAATTGGGTCCGGGCCCAAATCAATTGGGCCTGGCCCAAACGGGTAAGGCCCAATTCAATCCTGTATTTTTTTTTTCTTTTTCTTCTTTTGTATTTTATGTATTTTATTATTATTATTATTATGTATATATTTATTTATTTTTTTATTAGATTAGATTTATATGTATATAGTTATATATTTATTATTATTGTTATTATTATTATTATTTTTTTTGTAATATATACTTGGGTTTATCTTATTTTATTATTATTATTATTATTATTATTATTTTTAATTATCTGTTCTGATTTTTCCTGATTATCAGATATTTTTTTTTTAAATATCTTTTGATTTATCTGATTATTATCTAGTATTTTTTTATTTTTGATTTTGGAGGGCTAAGATTGAAGCTGAAGAATCCTACCGGGAATGGGAATTCAATCAAGAGAGTCCAATTGGATTCAAAGACTGAATTCCCGTCCAATGAGGAATTGGGATTGATCAGAAACTCCTGATCAATCCTTATATAAAGCACCTCCTGGAACAGTTCAAGAAGACACAGAAAACAGTAAGCAAAGCTACTGATTTGAGAGAAAAGGAGGCGTATAGAAAGCTAGGAAAAGTTTAGGAGTGTTCTGGGAGTGAGAAAAATTTTTTTAGAGATTTTTGACGAAAAATTTTTCTGGAAATTTTTGGGAAATTTTCAGATTCCGGCGAAAATTCCGGCGAAATTTGAATTTTCCGGCATAATTCCGGCGAACATTGAAGTTTCCGGCGACCAGCCCAGTTTCCGACGAAGAATCCCAGAAACCGGCGATCTTCCGGCCAACTTCCGGCGAAATTTCTAGATTCCGGCGAAAATTTCCAGAATCCGGCACCGGTGTTCTTCAGTTTCTAGAGAGAAGAGAGAGAAAAAGGAAGAAGAGAGAGAGAGGGGGAGGAGCGTTCTGCCAAAAAACGGAGGAAGGTGCCTTTTATACCCTCCCAAAACGACGTCGTTTTGGGCTTTAAGTTAACCAGGGGATCCGCGCGTTTTGCCGAACCCGACCCGACCCGGGCGTCGACCCGCTTTCTGACCCGCGCGTGCCAGCCCCCTCCGAGCCGAGCCGAGCCGAGCCAAGCCGCTCCCTTGAGCCGTTTTCTCTTCCTAGAGCCGAGCCGAGCCGAGCCGCGATCCGAGCCGCTCCAGGTTTTTTTTTTTTTTTTTTTCTCTTTGAATTTTTTTTATTTCTTTGTTTATTTGTTTATTTTATTTTTTATTTATTAGATTAGGTTTATGCAATATTCTTTTTATTTATTTTTTATTTTTCTTAAAAGAAAAATAAATTTCCAAAAAAAAAAAAATTTTAGGGAAAAGTTGAAAGTATCAATTTTCCTCAAAAATAAATTTCCAAAAAAAGTATTTTTGGGGAAAAGTTGAAAGTATCAATTTTCCTTGAAAATCAAAATTTCAAAAAAAATATTTTTGGGGAAAAGTTGAAAGTATCAATTTTTCTTAGAAATAAATTTTCAAAAAAAGGGTTTTTGAGGAAAAGTTGAAAGTATCAATTTTCCTTGAAAATCGAAATTTCCAAAAAATATTTTTGGGGAAAAGTTGAAAGTATCAATTTTCCCTAAAAAAATCATTCTTTCCTTCCTTTCTATCTTAATTTTGATTTTGTTTTTTTTTCTTTAAATAATCCGACGACGGAGCATCTGCAAGTGAAACAGTAGTTTTTCTTGCATACTCTTGAGGTGAGGGAATTTTCTCAATTTTCTGCTAAAAGTATTAGAGTCAATTGAGAATAATTTCCAATAATTAATTACTTGGTAAAATTTTAAGGCTTTTGGATAACACAAATTTAAGCTGGTACCATCTTTTGATGGGCGTTGTGAGGGTGCTATAACCTTCCTCACACGTAACCGAACTCCCGAACCCTGTTCTGGTTAGCAGACCTAAACCTATTCTTCTAGGGACCCTTAAACTTAGGTGTAACCTAAAAGGACAGATTTCATAGGTGGCCAATCGCACCTAGATAAAAAAGATTGGTGGCGACTCCCTAAAAGTCAATGTCTAGCGATAGATCCCCGGATCTAGACGTTACGATATGACCTTTTTTTTCTTTTTATTCAGTGCAACTTTTTCTCATTCACGCCTAAAAAACATAGCCCCTTATTTTATTATTTAAGGCTTACTAGAAAAAAAAGACTAGGGCTTATAATCTTTGATTGATCTAAAACCATTTACATGAGACTAAACCCCACTCTTTCTAACTATATATATATATATATATATATCTATATATATTCCATACAATAGGGTTTTGCTAACGACGTTAAAAAAATAAATTACCTAGCAATCTTAACGAACATTCTTAAAACAGTTGTTAGCAAGACTTTAATTCAATAATGAAGAAATAAATTTTCTTTTATATAAAAGTGATTATAATTTAAAAATATGAAAAAAATGTTCCAAATAGTAAAATTTAAAACTCGTATTTATTAGATATTATTTTCGGGTTTAACAAATTTTGGGTATATGTGAATCAACATCAATTCTGATTAATTTTCAAACAGATAAGCAGAATTTCCATAAGAAATTGTCATTGTAGAATATAAACTCTGGCATGATGTAACTTACAGCTAGTCGAATGTAGCAACTTGAAGAATATCTTATTCGTTTGGTGGAGGCCGTATTTGTTGCTAGCTCAGAAAATTAGAAATCCATAAATTTGTGTGGCTTGTTGTTTGTTACAGACAATAACAAAAACAGGTCAACTCAATCCAATAAAAATAAGAAAAACACGTAAATGAGTTTCCTTTGTTATCTTTTTGGTGGGACACACACGTTTTTGCTAAATTCTGAATTAGTAGTGACAAAGCATTCTATATGTCTTGCGTTTTTATAGGGATTATAATAGCGCGTAGCACTAAGTCATTGTCACTTATGGAGTTACATGATTACAGCTAGCAGTCAAATTCCTAACTTAAAAAATAATTCACATATTATTATTTTTTTATAGAAGTTTAGAAATATTCTCAAATTTTATCTTAATCTATTTTTTTTTTATCGATTTTATTTTTTTCGTTGTCTTAGATGGTTGGATAAATGGCAGAGCTCTCTATAAATACAGGAAATTCTGTTCATCCTTTATCACCACTCACCAGCTCTAAGCTTGAAGCCTTGCTATACCTTTAGTTTTTTTTTTTTTTTTCATTTATTTCTTGCCAATTTGTTATCCATGGCTTCCAAATGTTCCTCTCCTTTTGACAAGTTCAAAGTCTTGTTAGGATTGTTTTTACTTCTTATTAATGTGGCATCTGCCCAATTGTCTTCTAACGTTTATGCAACAACATGCCCTAGAGCACTTGCCACCATTAAATCAGCAGTGGGCTCTGCTGTGTCTAATGAAGCTCGCATGGGGGCTTCCTTGCTCCGTCTTCATTTCCATGATTGCTTTGTCAATGCAAGTCTTCTTTTTCTTCATCTAATTTCCAGCTAAATATTGCTACAAGCTCAAATTTTCAATGAAACATTGTTGCTTGCATTGCATGAGTTCAATTTCCATGCCTGCTGTGTCTAATGAAACAGAAATTTCTATCCGAGATTTGTTTTACGAATTTAATTCAAAAGAATACAAAACGTTTTAGCATAAAAAAATTGGGGGAGGGTTGGGGTTACTGTCCTGACTGGTGACCGCCATCTAACTCAACATAGAAGCCGACATTTTTGACTTTGTAGGCGACATTAAAAAAAGATATGCTGATTAATTGTTTGTTAATCATGTGTAATATATTTTTAAAAAATTGTTTTGTTCATTTGTATTTTTGCATGCAGCCATCGTGTCATGTTTACTTTTGGACCATAAAAATCGAAATTAAAGTTAAAGAGCCTGATGTTAATCATGCCGATATTGAAAAAAAAACTCTATCAGCTCAGCCATATGGAGAGTGTGATCGAACAACCTGGGCTTTCATATTTCCATTTTATCATATGGAGTCATATGATCATGCATGAAATTCGTGTTGTCGCTTGTAATTTAAAAGTTTAGAACATATAAAGAAATTACAACTTACAAGTTTGTTTATTAATTACGAAGCAGGGATGTGATGCGTCCATACTGTTGGATGACACAGCAAATTTCACAGGAGAAAAAACAGCTGGTCCAAACAACAATTCAGTGAGGGGATTTGACGTAATTGATACCATCAAGTCTCAATTGGAGAGTTTGTGCCCTGGTGTTGTTTCTTGTGCTGATATTGTAGCAGTTGCTGCTCGCGACTCTGTTGTTGCTGTAAGTGAAAAGATCCTGCTTTTAATCATGATTTCATGCACATCCAGGGCAGTCAATTCGGTTAGGAGAAGAACTTTCTTTTCTTATTAATCAGGAATCACTATCAATAGTACTTATGACTTTGATATTCTTTCAGCTTGGAGGACCTAGTTGGACAGTTCTTTTGGGTAGAAGAGATTCGACCACTGCAAGCCTGAGTGCTGCTAATTCCAACCTCCCTTCTCCAGCTTTGAATCTTAGTGGCCTCATTAGTGCCTTTTCAAACAAAGGTTTCACTGCTAATGAAATGGTAGCCCTCTCAGGTATGTTAGGCTGTTAGCAACTTAACTTCTTTACTGTCAGCCATCAAACTTGATTAACATTCTTATCAAATTCATGTTAACATCAAGGAAATGATGTCATTTTGTCGATTAATTTCTTCAGGATCTCACACCATCGGGCAAGCTAGGTGCACTTCCTTCCGGGCAAGAATCTATAATGAAAACACGATTGATTCCTCCTTTGCAACTTCACTAAGAGCAAACTGTCCAAGCACAGGAGGTGACAACAACCTTGCCCCTCTCGATACAACAAGTCCAACATCATTTGACAATGCATATTTCAAGAATTTGCAGGGCCAAAAAGGGCTATTACACTCTGACCAACAACTCTTTAGTGGGGGTTCAACGGACTCTCAGGTTAATACTTACAGTTCCAACTCGGCAACTTTTTCGACAGATTTTGCCAATGCAATGGTAAAGATGGGAAACCTTAGCCCACTCACAGGCACAAACGGTCAAATCAGAAAAAATTGTAGGAAAGTCAATTGAATCTATCTCTTTTATAGTTGATATTTTTCGATTTTGTGGTTTTGAATAAGGTATTAATTTGAATAAAATGTTTAATTGAGTGTTGTTTATGTAATTTCAGGTGCAATATATATTTTTTTTGTTTTGGTCAATTTCATTGCAAATCCAATGTTTGTTTCAATTTGTGCTTGTCCATTCTGGCAAACTAATGTCTTTGTGCAGAATTTTCCAATGTCATTTTAAATTGCGCGGTCTCTTTTCGATTCTTCCAACTGAAGATTAAGGTAAAAACTATAATCTGGGTTAAAAGATGGTCATATGTTCTATCTTTAAAATTTTTTTAATATCTCAAAAGATACCTGTTATTCTATTAATCATAAAAATTTTACTATCAATGATGTGATAATTATTTTTTTTTTAAAAAAAAAACCTCATAACACTAGAATAATTATGTCAATATCAGACAAAGCCCATCTTTCACAAATTGTATCTACAATAATTGTTTATTTTTTCTACAACGGAGGGTTGGATAAACAAAATTATAAATACTAAAATTTCAAATTTATTAAATATCAATTTAAAAAAAATTAAATGAAGCAATTAAATTAAATCGTTCATCTGCAATATTATATATAATATATATATATATGTATGTAGAAACCAAATGGGTTGAATTAACCCAACAAAGGCCCAACAATTATAAGGTCATCTCATAATCATCTCATGGGCCAGGCTTTCCCAACAATAATCATCGTTTTTGCTTACAGGTAAATGAAAATTTTATTACTAATAAACTAGTTGAACGATTCTGACTAGTTAAATTTTATAATGATAGTAGATAAAATCTTGGGCTAACCCTTATATTGTTTTTTTTTTTTTTATATATCAAAATCATTATAAATTTAATAGCTTCCGATGGTTGGCTAACAGAAAGGAATATTATATCATACAGCTTGAATGCTGAAGGTTTTTGGCATGCTTTACCAAGTCTATGATTAAGATGGGGAACATTAAGCCTTTGAACCCAAAGCATGGACAAATTCGTGTCAATTGCAGGAAGGTGAGCTGATGAAGCTACTTTATGGTTCCGCTGTCCAACTCCAATTTTTTCATGATTTTTTTTAATTTGTTTATATTGGAGTTGACTTTGGAGATTACAGATTCAAAAAGATTAATGCACGTAATATCATTTTCAACCAGATAAATGATAGGATAAAAAATTTAAAAGTAAATTAAGAAATAAAAAAAAATCATAAATCTTCTTTGGACCTTTATTTCGGTCTATTCAATTCACTATTGTTTGTTTAAGTGTATAAAAAATACGTTAAGTTGATCCTGCCTAAAAAATATTTATATAATATATTATATAAATATATAAATATTTTAAACATATTTCAAAGGTAAAATTAAACAAATAATTTATTATTAATGTCATAATGTGTGAGTTCAAATTAGAAGCTGCATTGCATAATTTTGCCCTTCGTTTCCTAAGGAGAACCAGTCTAATAGGCCCAGTCCAATATTAACCAATCTAAGTAAAATAATTCCTCCTGTTCACAATATATATCTCAAAAATGGTAGAAGTCAAGATATCCAATCAACAATTAAAGACCTAATCAACAAATTTTGCAAGTTCAATCAGTGAATTTCAAATCCTTAAAATTAAATTATAAACGAATTTAATAACATTTCAATAAACTCTGAAAGCCGATTTTAGCTTCAGATCTAAATTAAAGAACAGTCTGATGGTTTAAAAGTATAATAAAAGCCTTGAGAACCAGTCTAATGACAGGCTAAGAAAATAAAAGCATTGAGAACCAGTCTCATGATTGGCTAAGTCCTACTCGAAATTGCTCGTTATAAATACCCTGCAGCACTCCAACCATTCCCAAAACTTACAAACTTGAAAAGAAAGAAAATTAATTCAGAGCAAATTCAATTTTCTAATCAATGGCTTCACCCACCAATTTTCTTCTTCATACCTTTGTCTGGCTGGCTCTTGCAACCACAGCTTTTTCCTTATCTCCCAAATTTTATGACCAAGTTTGTCCCCAAGCTTTGCCTGCCATCAAGAAAATAGTCCAGGCTGCTGTCCATCGCGAGCGGCGCATGGGAGCTTCTCTACTTCGTCTGCATTTCCATGACTGCTTCGTTAATGTACTACATTTACTTCTCAACATTTCTTCATTATTATCAGTAATATTTAGTTTTTTTTTTTTTAAGTTGCATGCTTAAATTGTTTGCCATTGTAATGCAGGGTTGTGATGGTTCACTTCTGCTGGATTCTACAGCTACTATTGATAGTGAAAAGAATGCACGTGCCAATGAAAATTCTACCAGAGGATTTGAAGTAATCGACCAAATTAAGGCTGAAGTGGACAAAGTTTGTGGACGCCCCGTAGTGTCTTGTGCCGATATCTTGGCTGTTGCAGCTCGAGACTCCGTAGTTGCGGTATGGACTTATGTTATCCGATTGAAATTGAAAACTCAACCTATCATTTCCATTGTCAGAAATTTTGTAATCAATCATTTTCTAATGAAAACTGTCATGGTTGCTGCAGCTAGGAGGACCATCATGGAAGGTGAGGCTAGGGAGGAGGGATTCAACCACAGCTAGTAAGAATCTTGCAAACAATGTCCTTCCATCTCCGTTCATGGACCTTCCTGCATTAATCAACAACTTCAAGAACCAAGGTCTGAACCAGAGAGATCTTGTAGCCCTCTCTGGTGGCCACACCATTGGGTTAGCACAATGTTTTACCTTTAGGAACAGAACTTATAATGCAACAAATATAGACCCTGCATTTGCAAAAGAGCGTAGAGCAACTTGCCCACGTGATGGAGGCAACACTAACCTCGCTCCTCTAGATCCCACGCCTGCACGTTTTGACACTTCATACTTCAAAAACTTGGTGGAGAAGAGAGGACTACTCAGCTCAGATCAAGCACTTTTCAATGGTGGCTCAACTGATGATATTGTAAAGACTTACAGCTACAACCCTGAAGTTTTTTGGAACGATTTTTCTATGTCAATGATTAAGATGGGAAATATTAAGCCTTTGACTGGCAAACAAGGACAAATTCGTGTCAACTGTAGGAAAGTGAACTGGTGAAGCAAATTGATACTTTTAGGGACAATTGTTTTTATAGAAATCTTTTTTTTTTTATTTCAAGAAATCATTTTCATAAATAGTATTCATTTTTTTTTTAATGTTAAATAAGACACTGTAAGTCTTCTATACGAAAAGCCACATGGAAGATCATCAGATTAATATTGTTTGATTCGTTGTACTCAATTAAGAATTGTTTGTTTCAAGTGTATAGAAACTTTGTTTCCACCAAATAATCTCACACTCTTGATTACTTATTTATTTATTTATTTATTTTTGTTATTGGAGGCTATGAATAATTGTGCTAAATCTTCCAATGTATCAATACGAGTGCCGCATGACTTATATATATATATATATATATGTTTATATACTGTTAGAAAACTTTAAAATGTCGGTTCATTAAAAAAAATTGATTTTAAATATATTTTAAAATTAAGTACATTTGTTTTTGGCATTTTAAATTTTAAAATTAATTTATTTATAAAATATAATTATGTGATTCATTACCTGTATGTATGTATATATATATATATATATATATATAGTATACATATATACTGATAATATTTTAAATATAAACTTCTAATTAATCTAGTTATCACAATGAATTTCGTGTACATTACTTAACTGTATGAGTTTGAAAATAAAGAGACTATTTATTCGAAAACCCTCTAAACAGACATGAAATTGTCAAACACATACAAAAAAAATATTGTTTGGGAATGAGATTGACAATAGAAAAAACCAAAGCACCTCAATATCCTCAAGTTCCATTTAACATGAATACTACCGCTCTCTCCAACTCTTCTATCTCGCCCTTTTCTATATATATATATATATATATATAATGACAGATCTACATATGGAGCCCCCACTGAAATACTAAAATTCTTTGAATTTATTATAAAAAATCTCATAAATTTTAGAAATTTTTAATTCTGTCCCCACTAAATTTTTTTTTATCATATTTGCCCTCATTAAATTGAGGATCAAGTAAGAAAACTTTTTATTGTTTATCTAGTAATTGAACATTAATAATTTGGGTGATAAGCAATTTCATTATAATATATACATTAATTTGGAAGAAAAATAGATAAAAAACTCTTAAAATTCATACATATAACATATAAAGTGTGAATTAATAAGAATAACAAATAAAAAACGACTTTTAACAAAAATATATTTATATCTTCATTTTTGTTTCCATTGTATGTAAAAATGTATTGTTTTCGTTGTATATACGAAAATAAGTATTTGTTATTCTTCAAATTAAAATGAATAAGAAATGAAAATAGATGATAAAATTGAAAATATTGATTTTTATTCTTTCGCATATTATATTTATATTTAAGAATCCTATGTAAAATTTTATTAAATAAATATATATACATATTTATATATGTATGTGTCTGTATATGCATTTGTCTAAAGATGATTTTTGTAGTATTAATTATTCCTTCTAGGATAATAAATACTTATGAAAAAAAAATTTGGTATCCCGTTTTTCCACCATTACCTTGTTTTTGAATTCTTAAAACTTCAAGGAAGCTGAAACTAAAGATATTAAGTTGAGAAGAAGGTGGGAAAAATGTAAGAGAATTAAAAAAAAAAAAAACTTGCTATCCATCTTTAATTTTAGTTGTTTTTTTAAGTAATTGAGGTTATTAGAAATTGAACTTTAATTGTTGGGAACTAAAAGTTTGTTTTTCTATTAATATATCACACCGACCAATGACTTTTAATTTGATTAAAAGGTCCAAAATATCTTTAAATTATAATTCAATAATTATTTAAGTATTTAATATTTTATTACAATCAATTAAATTTTTAACCTTCAATTTTGATTCAATTAAATATTTAAATAGACAAAATCTAATCACATGATAAAATTTAATTAATCAATCCTCAAACTATAATCAATTAAATTTTTAAAGAGATTTTAGAGACTGAGAAAATAGAGAAGATAAAAGAAATATAAAAAAATAAAAATTTATTTTATGTAAATTTCACATATATTAATTGTATAATGTGGTAAACTTTAATTTATTTTATTCATTCATATTAAATTTTATCTTAATTAATAAAAAAATTAACAGTATTAATTTTTTCATCCAAATAAAAACTTAATTGGATATAAATAAATGTTGGAAGGATTA